TGGGCAGAGTGCACCTGGACAATTTTGTTTACCTGTCCTTTCTCTTGAGCAGTAATCCTTTGCAATCCTTGCCCCTTTAGCAGCCCTCTTTCTTTTTGGAAGTCTCTCAGACTGCCTACCCAGATCAGCCAGATATGGATCCCTGTTGTCCACAAGCAGACAGAATCTCAGTCTCTCCAGGTATCCCACCTGTTTTAGCTTTCCAACCCCACTAATCACAAGAGCACCATGCAATGTAGGTTTGTGCTCCCAGAACAGATCTCCAAGGCTAAGTGTTCAGCAGTCCCAGGACTCCCTGCCCCGTTTCTCTTCCTCCTGCCAGTGAGCTGGGGTGGGGGAAAGGCTTTGGTCCCACCGGGTCATTGCTTTGGTATGTTACCCTGTTCCATGAGGTTCATTCTTTCCTCCAGGTGTATGCAGTCTGGCACAGCCTTTTTACTGTTGCTCTTTCAGGATTAGTTGTATTAATTATATTTTCATATTATATGTGGTTTTAGGAGGAGGTCTGTGTCTCACCTCTTACACCGCCATCTTTAATCCCTCTTGTAAATTTTCTCTTAAGCTGACTTACAACACTTTAGTAAATGACAATACCTTTTAAGCAGAATTGAAATATTTACCTTTCTCTCTACCTGATCCCTCCAAAATGTAAAAGCTCTCAGCAAGTATTTTTTATGGAAATATGTTTATTTGCATAAGCTCAATAAGAATCTGCTTTCTTTGTAACAGGACCAATTAAAAACTCAGGCTTTGACTGGAATGTCATACCTAAGAGTCACGTGTGTAAACTCAGATATAAAAAAGACAGCTTTAAGGAACTAAGCTTGACTTTATAGAGCCAAAAATGTCCCTTGGAAGAACTGGCCTGGTACCTTGCTTAGAACATTCCCAGCAAACTTACCAGGTGAGTAAGGAAGGTCATTTCCTGTCAGGTATTGGAACCTCAGAATGCCTTGGGACCTCAAGAAGAGAGGAATCCACCCAAATCCACAGGTACTGCAGGCAAAACCTGATGGCAAGTCTGGCTTGGCTTTCTGGCCTCGAGGCCTTTAAAAATCCAATCTGAAATTCTTTATAAAAAGTACCAGCAAAACACATTTAAAAGAACCTATATAATCAATTGCTCTTCTTGCTGCTCTTATGCAAATAATAAAGCCAAGTGTTAATTATTTTCTTAATCTGGATACCTCTAATAAAAATGAAGGTGACTTTAGAGAAAAGAATTGTTTCAATAATGCAGGCTTGTCTATACTGAATCCTAACCCTACTCATTGGGACATAGACTAGATTCAGAATTCTAGTTTCCCCAAAATATCTGGCTGTGATTCTCCAGATGTGTTAGTTTTCTCCTATCATTTTGATGCCAGGGTTCTTGTTTGCAGAGTTGAAGAATGAGCTTAGCAAAGACCCAAGGTAGGAGAGCCAGAGAGAGGCTTTTATTGAGAGATACAGAGAGAGGACAGAGCTCACAGGAGAGTCTGGGTGGTATGTAGGGGATTTACAGGCGATTGAGGATTTTGGGGAACTGAAAAAGGGCTTAGGGTGTGGATTTGTACCACCTGCCCTGCCCCCAAGGTGGCCTGGGTTGTTGTCTGTTTGCTAGGGCTGTTTACAGTGCAGTCCTGGGTTATGCTGAGATGCCCTTCTTTATTTGTGGAATACTCACATTCCAGGCCAAGTTGTTCCTGGCCTTTTGAGCTTTAACTTCTCTCTGAAGATGTCTATATTCCTAGTCTGGTATCTTTACCCTAGAGAATTAGTGTGACCTTGACTTTCCATAGACTTCTTTGTTTCCATAGAGATAGAGTTTCCATAGAGACTTCTTTGCACATTGTTACATTGTTCTGTCTGTAATTATCTTGCTTTGCTTTTTTTTCCCCGGAGGCCCTCACCCTACTCTGACTACACCCATTAGTCAAGGTCACACTAATTCTCTAGGGTAAAGATACCAGACTAGGAATATAGACATCTTCAGTGAGATCAGTTATAGCTCAAAAAGCCAGGAGCAACTTGGCCTGGAACATTTGAGTGTTCTGTAAGGGTATCTCAGCATAACCCATGACTTCACTGTAAACAGCCCTAGCAAACAGACAACAACCCAGGCCACCTTGGGGGCAAGGCAGGTGGTACAAATCCACACCCTAAGCCCTTTTTCAGTTCCCAAAAATCCTCAATCGCCTGTAAATCCCCTACATACCACCCGGACTCTCCTGTGAGCTCTGTCCTCTCACTGTATCTCTCAATAAAAGCCTCTCTCTGTCTCTCCTACCTTGGGTGTTTGCTAAGCCCATTCTTCAACTCTGCAAACAAGAACCCTGGCATCACTAACACCATAGTTCTCTTTCCAGGCTTTCTTAAATAACTGCACACAGTTTTTAATATTAATCATTTGAAAAATATATACCAGTTGACCCTTGGACAACATGAATCTGAATTGCATGGGTCCACTTACATGTGGGTTTTTGAAAATACATACATTACTGAAAATGTATTTTCTCTTCCTCATGATTTTCATAATAACATTTTCTTTTCTCTATCTTACGTTTTGTTAGAATACAGAATATAATTATATACATATATTATAAATTATACACATACAAGTATATATTTTATACATACACAAAATATGTGTTAATTGTTCATATCATCAGTAAGGCTTCTGGTCAACAGTAGGCTATTAGTATTGGGGAATCAAAAGTTATACTCAAATGTTCAACTGTGTGGGGGTTGGTGCCCCTAAGCCCCATGTTGTTCAAGGGTCAACTTTACACTGCTTTAAAATGTTGATACATTATGAATATCTTTCCTTGTCAACAATATTCATCTGTAATACTAGTTTTCAAAGTGTTGAATTGGGGACCTTAGAAGTCCTAAAACCTTTACAGCATGTTCATGAGATCAAAACTGTTTTTAGTTTAACCCTACTACATTATTTGCCTTTTTTATTCTAACAAGTATAAAGTAGCTTCCTGGAGGCTACATAACATATGATATTACAACACTTTGAATGCAGGAGCAGATATGAAAATCCATTTGTCATCTATTATGTTTGACACTGAAAAAAATAACACAAATGTGAAACAATGCCACACTTCTCGCTAATTTTTTTTTGTTTAGGAATATATACTTATTTTTCATAAAATAAGTTATTTATGTTACTATATAATGAACTCATTTATTTATTTTTACTAAAGTATCATTGATAAACAATCTTATGAAGGTTTCACATGAGCAACATTGTGGTTTCAATATTCACTCATATTATCAAATCCCTCCCAGCACACCCCATTGCAGTCACTGTCCATCAGCATAGTAAGATGCTATAGTCATTACTTGTCTTCTCCATGCTGTACTACCTTCCCTGTCATCTACATATATTGTGTGTGCTAATTATAATGCCCCATAATCCCCTTCTCCCTCTCTCCCTACCAACTCTCCCCAACTCCTTCTCTTTGGTAACCACTAGTCCCTTCTCAGGTACTCTCTTATTTTTAAACGAAATAATGGATAAGTATTTCTTAAGTTTCTCAGTTTTAATTTTCAAAAGTTTTGATAAATGCAGCAGTAGCACATACAAACAAAACCTCTTGGGAGTAATTTTCAGGAATATAATGAGGTCCTGAGACCAAAAAGTTTGAGAACTTTTGAGCTACAATATTATTTTTCAATAGTTGATTTAGTCCATTGCACTGGAGTATCATAATTCATTTAACCAGTAAATAATGCCAAAAATGAGATACTTAAAATTAAGTTTGTGTACATTTTTAGTTATTTCTTTAGGGTAATTTTCAGGTTTGATTTTTAAAATACATACTTATTTACTGTACAACAGTGGACTAACATCAATAACGCAATCCACCCCCTCAGCCAATCAACTTTTCCCACTCTTTCTGCTTTCTTCCAATCAAAGGGGAATGTAAGCATTTAAAACTCCTAATTTAAGGCTATCACTAGGGAAAAGTACCTTGTGGATCATTTATCCCAGTGGGCTTTATTTCCAAGGGTAAAGTACCTTGCGGATCATCTATCCCAGTGGGTTTCAACCTAATCACTCTGGAATCTTTTTAAAAAGGTAAGTGTCAGGGTTGTGGGAAAGAACTGAGTGCAATTCTCAATTGCTTTTATCCACATGCTAACTGTTGGTGGAATGAATTCATTTTTCTAAAGTACAGGCTGAAATGAGAGCTGGCGTCATACGTGCTCTGACATCCCGATCTTCCCGAGGCGTTGGCGGGACGGTGTGCACTGTGGCCATTTGTCCGCCTTCGATCCCCTCTACTGGCCCGTGACCTGCTTCTTGGCCAGCACCATGGCGCCTCCTCCCCGCTAACGTCATGCTAAGCGCAGAGCCAGGACCCCACTAAGGGGGCAGCAAATTTTAGTGAACTGCTGAAGGAAGGCAGGCTCTATCTACCCTTGGAGATACTTATTCAGTAGGTTTGAGGCAGATTCTAGAAACCTGAATTTTTAATAAATCCTGCCTCCAACGTCAGATAACAAGGTTCCAGTGTCAGCTGCACTGGGTAACGGGGCTGGGCTGCTTCACCAGTCGGTGCTACGGTCTTGCATCCCCGTAACGGGCCAATAATGTCTTCCTCAGAGGCTTGTGTGAGGCTTCAGTGAGCTCTGCACTTCACATTCTCAGCTCCGCAACCGGCACCAGTAAGCCCAGAGAATGGGTCTGACAGAAGGGTCTGCAGGAGCGCGAGGCGGCTGATGAAGGAACTGGAGAGCGCTAACGAGAAAGCGCGCGTGGGCGTCGGGGTGGGTGTGTCCCTGGGGGCGGGACGGAGAGCCGCCAGGGGCGGGGCCTCGGCGGGTGGGACCCTGGGAGAGACGAAGCTGGTTCTGGGTGGGGCTTCGTGTGGGCGATACTGGGCGGGGCCAGGGGCGTGGCGAGGCTGCGGTCCTGGGCGGGCATTCCGGCGGCCGGGGGCTGACAGGGGCCCCCGGGAGTGAGAGACGCCTCCTGGCGGGAGCTGGCGGCGGCGGGGAGCTGACGAGGGAGGACGAAAGGGGGGAGCGGGGAACGCGGGGGGCTGCGGGCTGGCCTGTCTCTTTAAGAGTCCCGAGGCTCGCGGGCGCTGCGCGGAGGGACGGCACGGAGGCAGAGCCTGCCTCCCTAGCGCAGCCGGCGGCGCGCCCCGGGCTCGGCGGACCTGCCGGGAACCAGGGCCAGGCGACCTCATAGCGCCGGGGCGCACGGTGAGCAGGCGCGGGATGGGGCGGCGTCTGCGGCCGTGGAGGGTCCGGGCCCCGCGCTCGGGCCTCTGCAGGCCGAGGCCGCGATGGGCTTGCTAGGGGCCGGGAGGAGCCAAGCCGCTCCCGCGCGGCCTGGGCCCCGCCTGCGCCGAGGACGGAGTAGGGGTGCGGCGGCCGGTGGATGCGGGGCGCGGCTGCCGGCGGGCGGCCCCTCCCCTGCCTCCCTCGAGGTGCCGGCCTTCTGGGCGTCCCGCGGCACAAAGGCTACTGTCAGTGCCATCCCCTTTGGGGACCAAACACAGGTCGTCGAGCCTGAGAAACTGGTCACGAGGTTTGAAAACAGTTGTGATGGGGTTTGTTCCGAACTCCCTAGAAAGAAAGAAGCCCTTTAATTGTGTTACCCGTTTTGTACATGCCCTTATTCACTTACTTTTTCCAGTAAAATTTTTGGGAGTAGGATGAAGACAATCGTAAGAGATAAGGGTGGAAATGCCATTTTTAGTCGTATAGGATGAAAACTAGTTCTGGAATAAGGTTTTCAAATGACCTCTTTGGCCTTAAATATGTACTAGCGGTTACGGAAATCATCCGATTTGGTACGTGTTGTTAAGTTGCAAAATTGGGTTGCTAACGGTCTTAGGGAATACTTTATGGGCCTCAGTAACAATCACCAGGGCTTTTTCTTTCAAAACGAGGCATACCGGGTGCAAAGTCCTTTATTCTTTTCGCCTTCTTACTGCTTTTGCTTTATTGTACTTAGTATAAATAAAATAAAAAACTAAAGTTTCTAACTTAATCATAAAGGCCCCATAAGTGCACCTTTATCCCTCTTACATCAGTAGTCATGTATTTTAAAATAAATGATTCTATTTTCAGGGTGTGTTATAACGCCAAAAAGTTATCTTCTCTTTTTTAAAGGTTTAATAGCCATGCTGATTATTATTACTGTCAATTTGAATTTGTGCTGTTCTTTATTTCCCCCTTTTTTGGTCTGTACTATCTTCTTAACAACTTTGAAGACTGTGGTAACTGTGGTACAGAATTAAAGTAAGATCTTCCCATTTTAATAAATTACTCAGTTCTTAATGCAGTTAACAATTTGCTATCCCTTTTGTTATTTACTAAATTATTAAAGGAATGGCTGTCCATTCCTTCTTTGAGCTGCTTCATTCTGGCTATTTATGTTAAAGACAAAGAGTGAGATAGTGATAAATAATCACTAGAATCCTTTGGAGTTTTAAAATTTGTTTTCTAAGAATAACATACTGTTAAGTGTTTTAAAATTATAATACAATATTAGTTTTTATATGGGCCTAATGTTGAAAAGTAACAGTGCAGTACTGAGCCTAGTTAATTTGTTTTAGATATTCTCAGGTTAGTTACTGATGGCTTTATATATAGGGTAGTTTGAGGAATTTCTGTATTCTAGATCTTTGAAGATGGCTAACAAGACATCACTACATAAAGTTGTATTTTATTTATTTTGACTTAAGTCTTTCATTGAGAATGATCTTTAAATGATCACTCGAAAGCCTTTTAACACAAACATGAAATCTTGGTTTATTTGTTTTGTTTTTCATTTTTGTATTTATTTTTAATCTGGACTTGCCTTTGAATTAAAGTTTGGTTTCTGCCTATTTTTTTTTTTCTTTTTGTTTAGCTTCCTGGGAGATACTGTGTCTTTGAAGAAACATGAAGTCACCCTCTGTTGTTATGCTTACTCTAGCCATCCTTGTGTTTCTGACATGGATCCCTGTATCTCTGAATTGTAACAAAGCACTCTGTGCTAGTGATGTGAGCAAATGCCTCATTCAGGTAGGACTAAGCATATTTTTTATTTATATTAAAATGTATTGTAGAGCAGCTATAGTACACATATATCAATGTATAGTGTATATAGTACAGTGTATGGACCTGAGGTGCTGAACCATGGCATGCTCATCTGGGTTTTTGCCCCCATACCTCTCTTGCATACAAACAAGATCAGATTCAGAAGTTTAGTACTGAAAATAATTTCCAGCTTTTTTATAAACACCATTACAAGGTGATGAGCACTCTGTTCAGTTGAATTAAAGGGGTCCCCTGTATAATCTAGTTTACACAGCAGAGAGACTCAATTACTATATTTAGAAAAAAATTTAGCTAGTCAAATAATAGACAAATTGTACCCTTAATGTAGTGTATTATCTATTCTGTGTAACAGTTTAAACCTAGTGTAGCAACTTCATGCAGTAATTGAAATTTATTATTTCAAGCAATTTGCAGGGTTGGAATCTGGGAGCAGTTGAGCTGCATGGTTCTGGCTCAGGGTCCCTCACAAGGTTGCCGGCAAGTTGTTGGCTGGAATTGGAGAATCTGCTTCCAAGACACTTGACAGTTATCTTTTTCAGTTATTCATACAGCTAGTGGTGTAGCTAGTAAGCGGCTATGGAAGGAGGTCTGTGTTTGACTTCAAAGCCTGTGGCCTTCTAAGCATACTGCTTATTACTGTCCATAAAGTTGCATTAATTAGTGGTGAGCTTGTCTCACAGAGCTGTTTTCTCTTTTCTCATCCTATTAGACCATCCGCAGACCTTTTGTGTGTCTGTATTTATTAGCCTCCCTTCTAGTTACTGGCTGTGGGCTAAGAAATTCAGTAACCACATATATTAGAATTCTATGTAAAGTATGAGTCAGCTACCTCTTGGCTCTTGGCTGTGATCCTAACATTAGAGCAATTGTGTGTATGTACTAGAAGTGATAATGACTTTTTATAGATCAGAGGCATTTTGTGCTTATTTCTGACATTTGCTCCTAGTTGAAATTCTAGGGACCTAGCCTTTCTGTGAGTGTAGTTTGTCACCTTCTCATATTCTGTAACCCTTACATTGTATTTCAAACCAAAACATTTAACTAGAGAAGTTCGTTGGTTGTTTGGTTTTTAGTTTTTTTAGTATGAATGTTTTCAAGCATAAACAGAAGAGAAGAATATAATGAGCAGCAGTTACTATCAGCAGACACAGCCCTCATCAACTCATGGCTATCCTTATTTTATCTGTATTCCACCCCAGCTGTTTTAATTTAAAGCAAATCCTTGATATTACTTTATCATAATTCTAATATCTATTCCTTAAAGGGAAGAACTCTTTAAAACTAGCTATTAGCAATTTAAAAATTAACAGTAATTCTTTAATATCTAATTTTATACATGTAAGTTTTGATATGGCACATATCAAACTTAGACTTGTACTAGCAGAAAATTTTGTAGTCTGCACATGAAGTCCAGCTTTATTCTGTGATCAGATGGGGAAGTGGTGCCATTTTCTAGCGTGTTTCAGTGTAGCTTCATTATTTATTATTAGAAATAATGTAACAATTACTATATTTTAATGTTTATGGGGTAATTCATTTAAATACCCAATTAGTTTTTCATCCACCAAGTCTTTAATTTCCATTCATTCAAATAATTAAAAATTGGATTATTTAAAATACCTTGCCTAGAAAGGAAGTATTTTAAAAAGAACACTTTTTGGTTAATATTGATAAACACTCTGAAAGGTTTTTTTGTTTTGTTTTGCTTTTTATTAAAACATATGTAATACAAACCACTTCAAAAAAGAAAGTACTATATAAAGTGTAAAAACTGGAAAATCAAGTGAAGCTTCACCTGTTAAATATTTAATTCTAGTAAACTCATTGGAAAGAAACTAGAACTTGTTTTTTTTTTACTACTAATTCACTGATGCTAACATTTCTCAGGTTCCTGTTGTTCCTTCAGAGCCAGGAATCATCAAATCTTTTTCTGGTGTAGTAGAGGCAGTGCTTCTACTGGCAGGATATTTCAAGTTAAAAGTATTGAGGATTTTCTTATTCATTTATTTAAAAACACACCTTAGACATTGAAATGAAATGTGATTAATTCCATCATTTGACTGATTTTGTGGACTCCAGCAGATTATTTCACATTCTGAGCTTTACTTTCCTTATATTCCTCTTACTACAGCTGTGTAACAAACAACCCCCAAAATCAGTGGCTGAACACAACATTAATTTTGCCCATGAATTTGCATTCTGAGCTCAGGACAGTGGGATAACTCATCTTTACATCACACAGTATGAGCTGGAGTGGCTTGAAAGCTGGAATTATCTGAAGCAAGTGCTGTCCGCTAGAACTTTCTACAGCGATAGAAATGGTCTACATCTGCCCTGTTGCAGTAGAAACTAGCCACTTGGGGCTATTGAGCATTTGAAATATTACTAGTGTGATTGAAAAATTAAGTTTAAAATTTTATTTAATTTTAATTAAATTTAAATAGCTACATGTGATTAGTGACACCATATTGGACATCACAAATCTGAAGTCTAACATGTGGACTGGGAATATTGTTCAGCGGTGTTCACACTTTTTCTCTCTCACTTAGTAGTCTCTCCATATGACCTCTCAAGTGTGCTAGCTGAAAACTGGCCAGACTCACATGTTAGCTCAGGGCTTCCAAGATATATGTCTCATGGCAGAGAGCTGGGAGAAGCTGTATTGTTTTTTTATGGCCTCACAATAGAGTTTACAGTGTTCCTCCCACCGCAGTTAGAAACCCACCTGGATCTAAGTGGAGGGAACATAGGCCCACCTCTGATGGAGGAGCATAAGGAGGGCATGTGGATGTGATATAGTATCATGGCCATTTTTGGAAAATATAATCTGCCCCATCATAACTGTAAAATAAATTGGCTAGCTAGTGACCTTAAAGTTTCTCTCTTGTTCTAGGCAGTTCTAAAAAAAGAAACCAACTATTATGTGTTAAGTATTTTTTTTAATCAGAGTAATAAAGAACTCTTTGAGAGGTCACATTGTTAGAAGGATATACACAATGAAAAAAAAATTCCTTGACTAATTTTCCCTACTCCTCATCTGTTATCCAGAGAGAACTACTTTTTCTAGTAACTGCTTTCATTTTTACTTTCTTAAAGTGATTTTTTAACCATATGGCCATTTGACTAAAGAATAAACAGTTGACACTTGAACAAACACGGGGATTTGGGACACTGACCCCCACCCTCAACCCTTCACGGTTGAAAATCTGTGTGTAACTTTTGACTCCCATAAAACTTAACTACTAATAGCCTACTGGGTTTTTTCATTCAAGTATAGTTGATATACAACATTATATTGGTTTCAGGGATACAGTGAAGTGATTTGACAACTATACGTATTACCAAATGCTCATAACAGTAAGTGTAGTTACTGTCTGTCATCATACATAGCTATTATAATATTTTGACTGTATTCTCTCCTGTATTTTCATCCCCATGACTAATATATTTTATATGTAGAAGTTTGTACTTCTTTATTCCTTTCACCTATTTCACCCATCCCTTGTACACCTCTCTTATGACAACCCCTAGTCTGTTCTCTGTGTTTTTTAGTCTGTTTCGGTGTTGTTTGTTTGCTTGCTTTTTTAGATTCTGCATATAAGTGAAATCATATGGTATTTGTCTTTCACTCTCTGACTTTGCAATAGCCTACTATTGATTGGAAGCCTTATTCATAATATAAACAGTTGATTAACATTTTGTATGTTATATGTATTGCATATTATATTATTATGGTAAAGTAAGCTAGAAAAAATGTTTTTTTCAAATTATCACAAATCTTCAAAATGTTTTCCAACATATTTATTGAGTAAAATCCACATGTAAGTCGATCCACGCTGGTCAAACCCTTGTTGTTCGAAGGTCAGCTATACTTCTATTTCTTAATTTGTCAATTCTGGTATTATATCTCTAAGATTAGGACATAGCTCACTTACCATCCTCTCTTCCTCCACCCATGCCCTGCCATAATTGTTTCACTGTTTTTAGTTTCTCTCTTGGGTACCCTTTCAATTTCTACAATATAGGTAAACCTTTCTGTTGTGTTGTATCAATTAGAAATACTATCTTTTAATTCGTGATATAAGAGGAGAATATTAGTAACCTTATTTCTTTTAAAATTTTTATTTTTTTAAAAAGGTTTTAACAGTAGGTAGAATATAATTCAGTTAAGAAGAATTGTGAATTCCTTTAAGGACCTAGAAAAAGGAGGGCTCATTAGGGCTCCAAAGTCTTGGAAGATCATGTGGCTCTACCACTGATCACCACACTTTCCATCACAGACAGCAGATCATGTGAATCTACCATTGTTTGCCACAGAGGCAGCAAGGAAAGCAGTTGCCTTGCATTTGTGAGTACTGCTCTTAGAATTTTCTGTTTTCAAAATCATTTCTTTGAGCTATATCAAAGTCTGTGGGAAATGAGGTAATACCTATGCTATTGCTTTCTATATCATCAAGCTTGATAACATCAATACTCTGAGGGAGAGTTATAGTGTAATGGTTAAGAGCATGAACTCTGGAACAAGACTGAATTTGAAGCCAGTTCTACCAAGTACTAGCTGCATGACACGGACAATTTAGTTAATCCTTCAGTGCCTCAGTTTCCTCATCTATAAAGTAGGGGTAATAACCATACTTACCATTTATAGTTATTGTGAGGATTAGGTATAAATACTTAGATCAGCTCCTAGCACTTAAGTGCTCTGTCAATAAATATTATTAACCTTATTTCTCTGTTTTGTAACTATATTTTAATCTTCCATGCTTTATTTACAGGTATATTCTAAAATTGAAGTAAAAAAATCATCTTTATATTATAATGGTTATGTAAATATTGTTGACAGTATAGTCACATAAGGTGCTATGATTATATCTCCTCTCTTGAATGACTTTGTCTTGAGTTTCTAATTGCCTTTCTTGATTTTGCATCATCAGTCATTTACTTCTTACATTGTTTTAAATTAA